CAGAGAGCACTAAGAAGTCCACAGTTTAACCCCAAGCCACAGATACTCTTTTCTATTAACATATTTAAAGCAAATTTAGGTAAGAACCATAAACCTTACTCATTTTGACAAGCAACAGAATAGGTAAAAGAAAGCAAAAGCCTACAGATAATCCTCACTTAATGTTTAGCAACTCTTTGAAGTTACAATGGTGCTGAAAACATAACTTTACAATCTGGTCCTTACATGTATGCCCTTTGCAGAGTCCTATTGTATGTTTCATAGCTGTCTTCTGACAAGCAGAATCAGTATTAGTTATCAAGTATTAGTTGCACTGTGTTTCAAATAACTATTGCTTAGCAATGGAGTTGTCTGGTTCCAATTATGATCTTTAAGCAAGGACTAATCTGTATACAATTATTGTTACAACTATTTGCAACAGATAGCTAGTAATCAATGTCATTATATAACCCATTAATTCTTCAGCAAATTGCTCCATTACTGCTGACTAATTTGGAAACCTACATTAGATTCAAAAACAGAGCAGACAAAGTATGCTCTAAGCAACAGAAATTTCTACCATAATTATATCTGTTGCTGTGGTAATGGCATCACAACATCTTATCGTGGTGGTGGTGGTTCAGGTACCACACTAGCAAGGGCCAACGTGTAATTTCAGGGAAAAGTTAATACATCAGATGTACATTAGTCACATATTGACCAAACTATTAACAGAAAATGCAACTAAGCATAACTTTCAAGTAAAAAAAGCAATTATTTTGACTTCAGCTCACCAAAATGGTAATGATAACGAGGAATCCATGAAGCACTGAATGTGAGATTTTGGCAGCTTCTCCTATGATCTTATTTCTATTTTGTTTTGAAGGTTGTTTTAGATTTGTTTTAATTGTTTGCTTTATTGTATGCCACTCAAAAAGTCATGTTAGTGAAATGGGGGGGGTGTATATAATTTTGATAAATAAAATCTACCAGTTCCTTTGGTTTCCCCTACTTTGATGGGCATGTGGGAACGACTTTGGGAGACAGGAGAGAGCTGCAGCTTAGATGATGGTCCGACAGACGAAACTCGAGTCCGAAACAGGAAGAATGGAGGAAGCACCACAGAAAAGACCCTCGTTTTCAGGAGAGTAAAATGAGGGATCGGAGGGCTACTTTCAGACTTACGAGACTGATGTTAGCTTTGCGAGACAGTCCACGCAAGAACCACAACCAAAGTTTTAGATACTTTTACTGGAAGCTTCCATTGACAGAATCTTAAGTTTGACAATAGCACTCACCCACTCTCTGCAATCGAGGTCTAGGTGCCGGTGGAACAGCAAGGCACCATTCCAAGCCAATACAGAGATGGGGAGAGAGGGGGGGAAAAAGAGAAGAAACTCGCAAGAGTAACCAACCTCGGCCTCCTCGGAAGCCTCCACGTCCTCCACGGTCCCCACGTCCTCCGCGAGAGGTAAAACCTGCAGGCAGAGAGGCAGAGAATCCGAATCAGAAATGACCACAGCAACCATGTGCCCGAATCCCTCCATTCCCACCAGCTGGGCCGTGTAGTCGCCACACAAGCGCCGCAAATAAACTCGACCGCGCCGAAAGGGTTTCCTCACACGCGCCTTACCGGGCCGCATGTTTGCAGAGAGCAAGCCAGGCACCTCCTACCCCACGCGCCTAAAATTCCAGGACCGGAAACCCAAGCGCGCAGGTCTTCTGCGTCATACGCCGCGGGTCGCACAGGAACTACGCAAAGATTTGCGCGCATGCGCGAGCGCGCCCCCGGGCTTTCTGGGGAATGCAGTTTGCTGCAGTGATTTTTTTTTCTTTTTTTTCCTTTTATTTTTGGCTCGCGGTCTCTATCGCTTCTTTCCTTTCACGTTTAAAACGATTTTTCCCTCCCTCTTCTTTTCCCCCCCCCCAGCGGTGGCTGGATTAAGAGAGGAGCTGCTGATCCCTGTGGATCTACTTAGATGGCGCTAAAGGCATTTTATTGCGGAAGGAGGAATAGCAAATGGCGACCTTAAGTCCTGGCGCGTAAAAACCAGGGCTGGCTAGGAAAACCATCCTTCTCTTGTCAGTTGAAATGCAGAGAGAACAAAAATGTAATTTATTGCCTTTCCAGACACGTGAAATCACAGGATTGTCAGCTGATCCAATAAAATTTGGTCAATCGTTTCGGATCTTAAAATCAAGAATTTGTGTAAGATTTTGGAAAAAAATGTCCCGAAGCAAAAAGAAAAGGCGTTTTATGTTGCCGCTGGCTTTGCTTTTAAGAGATGGGTTTTTTTTCCTTCTGTTGCACGGAATGAAGGGGGATTGTCAACTGCAGTTTGTAATCATCTTTTGCTTTAAAGGGAGATGTACAGCGCTTCTGGCTTCTCAATTCAGCCAGAAACACTTTTAGCAAATCAAATTGTCCCACAATGTAAACTGTGTATTTACTTAGAAGTATATACCTGCAAATTCTGCAAGATTTAATATATATTCTTAAAAATGTAATTCTAGGTTACAAATGTTTGCATGGTTGCCTGGAAATAATCTTTAATTAATATTTGTAATGGAATAAAGATGAACAGCCAATCAATTTAATATTATGGCTGAAACATGTATATAATCTCTGAGCAAAATACCTTTGCTTCATTCCTGAATAAACACATGTAGCTCATTCCTGCCTCTAGCCCTGTTTTGAATATCTCTGTATTCCTATAATTTTAGATATGAATTGTACTTGCTTGAGGTCTAAACATATAAAATAATAAGAGATTCACCTTAGTGAGCTTCATTGAATTATCTTTTTCTCACTAGGAAGAAAAATATTATCAGGAAAATGTTTTAACTACTGAATCAAAGATTTTCCAGAAAGTATTTTTGATCATTAGCAGTTGAGACTTTTTAACAGGAAATAAATCTGAGTATTGAGATAATATTGAAGTTTGTCTGATTTCAGACATGTAAACATATGACAATACCACTTTAAATGTTGCCACTTCTGTTTTTTTATATCTGTTCTTAATAAATTTTATTCAGTGAGACTTGCTTCCTGGTAATGGAATTAAAGCCAACATTATACAGGTAGTCTTCATCTTATGATCATTTAATTGCCATTTGAATTTACAGCAGCACTAAAAAAAAGTCTGCACGCTTACCACCACACCATCCCTGTGGTCATATGATCAAAATCCAGGCACTTATATTTATGTATTTATGACAACTGCAGCATCCTGGAATCGTGATTGCCATTTGTGACCTTCCCAGCTAGCTTCCAACAAGCAAAGTCAATGGGGAAAGCCAGATTTGCTTAATGATTGCATCAAAAAAGATACAATTGGATGCAGCTTGTTTAACTACTTCCTTGTTTAGCAACAGAAATTCCAATTGTGATTGTATAAGCTAAGGATTAGTTATACATTCTTTTTGCCTGAATTAACAGGTATACTGAATTACACTAAATTACAGTATAAAAAAGGCACACATCAGTCAAATTTATATTACATTACTATAAGTTGCCATAAATCCATTGTAAATACCAAATGCATACTTAGGGACTATTTTGTATATATTTAAATCAGATCTAACTTTCAAATTATAAATCACATATCTTTTTTTTTTTAATTTTTTTTTTATTTTTCATTTAAAAAACACAAACATAAATCTTTTATCACAATATCAACCAAAGAGAATAAAGCTAAACAAAACATTCACAGACGTGTCCGGTGTACCCCTCCCGCACCACCCTCTTCCACTTACCACTCCTTCCTCCTCTCATTCTACCACCACTCCTCCTTCCTCCCTCTTTCCTACCTCCCTTCCACACTCAACCATCCCATCCTGTGCAGTTGGGGTATCACCGGACACCTCCTTAAAAAAATCCTAAATATAAATCTATAATACAAACCTACCCTTTTCCCCCCTCCCCCCCCATAAATCACATATCTTGATTCTGTTGTATTATTGCAAAACACTGCTATTGAACCAGGCAACAAGGTTCATAGCAATTCTAACATTTCCATTTTCTTAATGACAGACATAACTGACTGACGGGGAAGAAAGATCAACTACAATTTCTAACTCTCCCCCTTCAACCTTCCTTGAAACTTCTGTTAACAGGTTGCCTTTGTTTTTTAATAGATGAAGACTGTTGTTTAATAGCTGCATGACAGACCAAGATTTTCTTGGTGCAGTTTTGTTCCTGCCTGCAGAGCCAGTGACACGAAGTGCTGGGCTGATTAAGATTCTGCCTTCTGTGCACTTGTTAAAGGTACAGGCAGACACGTAAGTGAAAAGTTTAGCAAATCTTAAAAGGATCTTTGGACATCGCCATACAATCTCATTTTGCTAGAATTGTTGGATATATTATGCATAAGTTCAGCTCATGCTAACTCATAAGCTATCTATAAGACAACAGCTGGATTTTCACAATGCAATAGGCCAAAGCTAAACAAACCACATTATGGCTTAGTGTGAAGTGAGGACCAAGCCACTCAACCTATGTGAATTTGCCAGAGCTTAGTTCCCCTCCCAGCCCCATAATTTTGCATTATCTGATGTCTTCCCACATATTTGCAGCCATAAAAAATCTTAGGAGTGATCAAGCTGTAAATACAGATACACGGCAAGAAATGTGACTGTAGTACGGCTGATATATGAAATATACAAAGGTTTACACCAATTCTTAAACCTCCAAGTCTGTGAACTGAATTTAAAATTCACATCTACAGCCACAAAGTAAATAAAAGCTCAGCTCAGTATTTAAAGTATGCATTTAAGCATTTCAGTGCCTGCATTGTTAAAAAGCACACGCAAAGACAAAACTTTTTTTTTTCATTTAAAATCTCTTCCAGGAATAGAAAGCTTCCAAACTTTGAATTCCAGTTCTGCAGTAAGCATTTCAGCTTATGGAAAACAGCCATGAATTTGGCCATTGGAAATAGACAGCTATCTAGGAACCTGGAAAAAGAAGAACTTGCTCCAAAATACAGCCAGCCAGCCATGAGTTAATGAGTTCTGTATTTGATTTTAGAACTCATACATGAAAAAGAGGACCTTATCTAGATGAGCTGATTTGCAGCTATATGTGGAATGACAGTATCACAATGAATCTTTCCAGTAGGTCATAATGCCTAGGAATGATTATGATTGAACCTTTCTTTGAACAATTGATTGAATGGTCCACTAAATCTCAACCCAAATTTCTGAGTTTCAGGCTCTCATTGATGGCCTCTCTGTAGTAGTGGAAATATAGTAGCATCTAGATCACCATTGCTTTCTGAATACTTGAGGACCTGTGGCTAAAGCCCACAAGGATTGTAATAAATAATTACCAAAAGATCCACTTCATGCATTTGCTTTCTTACAGAAGAGTATACTGTACTGCTAAGACAAAATGCTTCCCACCATTTCTCTGTTTTTCCTTGCTTGCAAGCATGATCTGTAAAATTGACTTGTGCCTCTTTCCAATATTAAGCCTTCTAAAGAACCAAAAACAACAACAGAGAAATGGAATCAGCTCAAGGGCCTTACATCCCAAATAGACAGTAATTCAGTAAGTAGTTGTGAAGATGGTCTGCTTTCACCACGCAACCTGTCTACACTTCTCTGTCAAGTAAGGATGAAGAAATCCAGGCTGCTGCAACCTGTTCCTGATACCAAATATATTTTGGTTCCCATCTTTGTGCAATCTGTCCTTCTCAGCAGAAATTGTGTGAAGAGGGGTCAAGAAGGAGAGCAAGACTGCTAATCTCGGTTTGCAATTAGTGTCTTCAGGGTGATATTAAAGAGTTTCATGGATCCAAAAATGAAGCAAAACCTCTTCGGAAGGCAACACTTGCACTGATTCATCACATTTCTCCATATCTTCTCCCCTGTCCTTTAGTATCTTAACAGGTGATGCTGTTAGCTTCTAGAAGAGAAAAGGTAAGCTAAGTGGAGCAGAATACCTAGAAAAAAACATCCTTTTTACGGCAGAAATCAGCTTTACCCACAGAGAAACATTTTAATATAAATACAATGCAATACCACAACTTTCCCCAAGATGTTGTACTTAAGATACATCACACTACGTTTTCCAAAATTCTTAGCTCAGAAGCTGAGAATTCTGTAAATCTTTGTCCAAAGGATTTGGAGAACGCCAACTTGAGCAATACAATATAAATATAAAACTATACATGTTCTGTTCCAAGTGTCTTGCTATTTTGCGTATTTTGCATTCTAAATTTCTATAACTTATCTTTGATGCCTAGCATCAATTGCTCTGTTAATGTAACCACCCACCTTACACCAATCTAAATCCTGTGTTGGCCAAACCAGGTTGGAAACTGATCCAAAGAGATCCCTCAATACCCAACCATCTTGGGAATCCTTTCAGAAGGTGAAAACTCTTGAGTATCAACAGCCTGGACTAGAATGATACAAGTTAGGATGTCTGTTAAATGGGATTTCAGATACATTCTCAGGAAAACACGACAATACAGTATCTTCGTAGAAAAAATGTGGGCTATAAATGCTATTAAAACACTTGGGTTGTTTCCTTGCAGACATTTCATTACCCAAATTAGGTAACCTCATCAGCACTGATGATGTGGCCTAGTTTGGGTAATGAAATATCTGCAAGAAAACAACCAAGTTCAGCGAGTGCAAGGATACCTCAAACTCCTATTAATGCAGAAGAACCTACACTTATAAAGTACACCTTCTCCAGTATAACACTATTAAGTACACATCCAGGTAGCCGGTTTCACAAGTCTTCCTCCAGTTTGTGAGATGACATAATTTGCCTTTTCCTGCCCACTGACTTCTATTACGCCTCCTTAAGAAGGCAGTAAGTAATGCTGTCCTGACAATTTTAATGTGGAGATAAGTTGAAGGAAATAATTGGTGGATTTCCTGCTTGCAGAAAAGATCTCACTCATTGTTCTTCCTAATGAAGGGTGAGGCTGGGCTCAGAACTTGATTGATAGGGGTGGGGGCTTTCCCGCTTTCCTGGGAAACCACTACTCACCAAACAGATCAAGCAGTGCTGTCCCCACTCAACAACCCATGAATGAGTCATAGATTACCTCTTTGTCCAACATTGGTGCCTGATCACACCTGCTGCTCAAGATAAAATGGATATTGAGAGAAGTTGCCGAACGGGATTAGAAGAGAGGGGGTGTGTGTACCCAGATCACAGTGCGAAAAGCAAGAAATAGGAGCTGATCATATTCCATCAACTAGTTGCTGCTGAACTGCTGCTGATCATGCATACAGTGTAGCAAGGTTTGTGTTGGGAGATAGATAGAGGCTACATTTCAACACTGAATGGGAGAAATATGAAATGGAACCGGCTCCACTTTGTGCAGGGAAGTAGATGAAAGCCGTGTCTTGAAGACATGTCCTTAAAAAATAATAGCAAAGTATCTTGGACCTCAGGTAGATGAGCTCAGAAGCACAAATGAAACACCGAGCAGAGCTTCTTACCAAAGTATCTGGAAGGACCTCATCTGGACAGAAGGAATACTGGCAGATCCGACAGGTTTTCCAAGCAAGAAAAGGAAGGACCAAAACAGCCACAAAAAAAGTAACCAGGAAGAGTGGGGCAAAGGTCAACAGTATGGCTTTGGCATCTGGAGGCAAAAGAAAACATCAATATCTCAGTGAAGGCTTTGCACTGAACATGTTTAGAAACAGAGAGGTGGGCAGCATAAAAAATTAATATAAACAAACAGAATAGGTGCATTTTGCAATCAGTGTTCTCAATAGCTTTTAAGCATTCTCCAAATTTTCACCTAAGTAAGTTTCTTCTGCAGATATCTCTTGGACATGTATTATTAGCAAACCTTTCCCAGATCAATTTATCCAATCCAGAATTTCTATCCACTGAAAATTTGTCTGGAGAGCCTCAGAGAGAAAATTTTAGGTCACACAAATAACAGAATCAGTTACTGGGTTAGCAGGGTTATTATAGAGGTCTTCAGGCAGAAGCTGGGCAACTGTTTGCTGAAATGCTCTAGTTGTGAATGTGAATGTCCTAACTTGAAAAGGTAGGACTAGATAACCATGAAAGCCGTGTTCATGTCTATGATTCCATCATTTATTTGAAAGAGCCTATAAACCCCCTTCCCTTTTATACTGTAACTGGCTATGAAAACCCAACCATTATGTTTTGCAAACCAAGATGGATGATTGTTTTATAAATCAAATGTAGTTCAGTAAACCATGATTAAACCATATATAAGCAAATGGACACCCAAGGCCCTAGGGTCTTCCATTTGTTTTTGTGCCTTCTCAAGGGAAACAGGTAGCTGATAAACAACAACAGTATAATATCATTTGAAAGGGTGGCTGCAACACGTTTTGTCTTTTTTTCATTTGAGAAAGTTATTTAGAGGCAATTAAGAGAGGTACTCGTTTTGCCTCTAAGATCCCTCAAAAGGGGGAAAGAGGGCACAATTTGGGGAGCAAGGTGGGGTTTTATGAGGTGCAATGGACTCTTTAAGGTCTTACAAGGCTTAATACTACAACAATTTTACCCTTTAAATTAGCCCCCCCCCTTCAATCCTCTCCGCGATAATTAAATCTTTTGGCTTTGCTCGCTCTGGAGCAGCATTTCTTAACTTTGGCAAATTTAAGAAGTGTGGACTTCAACTTCCAGAATTCCCTAGCACACATCTTAAAGTGGCCAAGGTTGAGAAACTCTGCTCTGGAGAGTCCATGCAGTCAACAGCTTAGCAAAATCTGTGAGTCCCACCCCTTTTATCCACCTTGTTCTCACCTTCTGATTTCACACACTGCACCTCGCTGAAATTGCTGCTCCTGTTGATAGCTTCCACGTAGGTCTGAGCTTTAACACAATATTCAGCTCCAGCCTCCATTGTTTCCAGATGCACAGTGGTGGTGCTTTCTCTCACCACTTTGCGGTAAACCTAGGTGTGCAAAATATGGAATGAAAAACAAATATACGCTGAAGGGAATTTCCACATGTTAGGTGAAACAATCTGCTTAACTAGACTGGTTTGCCCTTCCCGAGATCCCTGTTGCTAAACAAGAAAAACAATCAACAACTGGATGTCAACACTGCTAACATCGGAACCATGACAGTGGTGCTAAAACATTTTTTATAGGCCGCATTTTTCATGCATGGTTTAGGCAGTTGGGTAACCTGAATTTGCCTACAAACTTCTTCACTCCTTGTTCCCGTTCTAAACCTTGAGGTTGAATCTCATACACAAAATACAGATAGTCCTTGACTTATAACCACAATTGAGTCCAACACTTCTGTGGCTAGTTTCTGGTTTAATGTCATGGTTCTGACAGATGAAACTCTTCAAAAGAACTTCGAGGCATTGTTTACCTTAAAGAATCTTTTATTCGAGAAACAAAGTGTTGGCACTACATAGTTGAAACCAGAAACTAAATTCCCCTCCCATGGATACAAAGTAACAAAGTGCAATTCCCTCCTCCAATAAACAGTCATAAATCACATTCCCCAATTAGCTTGAAGCGAGGGCTTTCTCCCCAGCTCTCCACCCGCCAAAACACTATCAGTTCTGGACCCAATGTCCTTGAGTTCTCACAACTAAGTTATTATTGTTATGACTAGCTGGACTCTCATCCCTATTCCCCCCCCCCCCAGCAGCAACTAATTCTAAAAGCAATAGAGAAAAATGGCTGCATTTCCATCTTTTGTCAAAGCAAGAACATCCAATGTTAGTAGCGTGGACATCCACACTAAAATACGAATAAAGAAGGAATCCAACTGGGTTTCCTAAATTAGACCGCAACTTGGGTGTTTGGCAAGGACCCCTTCGTCTAATTTTGATGGCTTTCCCACCCATGAAACCATTTCTTTCTGGTCCAACATTACAAGCAGCACCAAGTAGCTGGTTCTAGTTTCTCTCTAAATCTCCTGATATTCTCCAGACCTGGGATTCTTTCGGACATTGTCAGAAATTAAGACCTGACTCTCTCCTGAGAACCTTATGGCAAATATAGTCAATAGGCCCCAATAAGAAGAAAGCTATGCATCAGAGGCTTCTTTGACCAGGCAGCCAGGTGACTTTGGGTTCTGCAAGTACAGTAAAAAAAGCCTCTTCTTCAATTTCAACTAATAACATAGAATGTTATAAATAACATTTATATTTATGCATTGATGTTTCTCTTTGATGTTTCAGTGGCTTCTAACTCCTTGTGATCTGAAGGATGTCAGTTTGCCAGGATGGTCTATCTGTGCCTGCTTCTGGAGCCCCTATAACCTCCTATTTGTGTCATCAATGTTATTATCTAGTCTTCTATTGTCTTTTTATTGCCTTTGATTTTTCCAAACATCAAGCTCTTCTCTAATGACTCTTGCCTTTGCATCTTATGTCCAAAATATTTAAAATTCAACTTCCTTCTTAATGCTTCCAAGGAGCTGCATGGTTTCACTTTATCTGATGTTTAACTATTTGTACTTCTTGCAGTTCTAAAATACTCTTAACAATTTTCTTCAGTCCCAAATTCAAAGGTGTACATTTTTCCTCAGCCTTTTTGACGATCCAGCTTTCAGAGCCATATATTAGAACTGGGAAAACCATAGCTAACTACACAGATTGTCAGTGTGAGTTTGCTTAATATTAATATTTTTATTCCCATATACAATAAATGGGAAAAGTAATTGCAACAGCACTTAGACTTATATACCGCTTCACAGTGCTTTACAGCCCTCTCTAAACAACTTACAGAGTCAGCACATTGCCCCCAACAATCTGGGTCCTCATTTTTCTGACCTCAGAAGGATGGAAGGCTGAGTCAATCTTGAGCCAGTGAGAATCGAACTGTCAAACTGCTGGCAGCCAGCAGAATTAGCCTACACTACTGCATTCTAACCACTGCGCCACCAGGGCTCTGCAATGGCAGTGGGATTCAAAAGCATGTTTTGATAAAGGTTGCACATAGGTGTAATGATATGTGGGAATGACCTTGGGAGACGGGGGTCAGGGGAGAGATGCTGGCTAGGGAATGGTCAAATAATAGAGGCCATAGCCCGCAACTGCATACAGGTGACTTATGACCACAATCGAACCCAAAATTTATGTTGCTAAGTGAGATATTTGTTAAGTGAGTTTTGCCCCATTTTACAACTTTTCTTGCCACATTTGTTCAGTGAATCATTGCAGTTGTTAAGTTAGTAACAAAGTTGTTAAGTGAATCTGGCTCCCCCATTGACTTTGCTTGTCTGATCGCAAAAAGTGATCACATGACCCCAGGACACTGCAACCATCATAAATATGAGTCAGTTGCCAAGCATCTGAATTTTGATCGCATGACCATGGGGCTGCTGCAATGGTCATAAGTGCGAAAAACGGTCATAAATCACATTTTTCAGTGCCGTTGTAACTTTAAATGGTCACTAAATGACCTGTCATAAATTGAGAACGGGCAGAGAAAGCGGCTCGAAAGGGATTCCTCCACCGCCACTGCTGTAAAGGAGACGGTGAACATTTTGAACTTTCAGACTTTCAAGGTTCTGTTAATGTAGCCTTTCAATAAAATAGAATTAGTTCATCTGGTCGTTTTTCCTGTCTGGTCTACCTGAGAAGGCTGACGATAGGTGAATATGCTCATATTTCCGAACAAGATAGCTGAATTGCCACATGCAGGAACCAAAATGATCCCATGCTTCTGCAGACAATAGTATATGACAGGAAATCACAAAGAAAGGCAGATGAGTCATGGCAGTGCTATTTCCTAAGAGCATTTGGAGTTTCAGCCAAAGCTCAGGATAGCTCAGTGATTCAACCTTGATGAGTAAAGAAATTTTCCTGCCTTTCAATCCATCTAAACAAACAATTGCAAATCAGAAAAAAGATCAGAACTTACGGCAGGTTCTGGGCCCTTCTTCCAGTAAAATATCCAGAAGTCAAAGGCAGGCCCCAGGTGTTCTAGTTCTGCTAGCAAGTGATATCCATCAGTGGTAACAGTCAGCATTGGCGGAATGAGGGATGCTATAAAAAGGAAAAGGGATTCACATATTCAGTAGGTGGAAAAAGGGACGGATGAAGACTGGACAAAAATTGTTCAGAACTGTTGGGTCCAAGAATGGGTTCTTGAGGAAGGACTGAACCACTGTCTCCTTCAGGGGAGGAATGGTTTTGCCACCACATGGACCTGACCATGTGGCTATGACCAACCACGAAGGACATGGATCTAAAAATAGGTGGTCGGATCTTATGTTGGTACACTTTATAGCAGGCATCATCAACTCAACATTGTGAGTCTCAGGGCATCCCCTGGTTTCACAAAATATACCAGTTCCCTATTAAATGAATGTAAGAAATGCTTCAAAATTAATGTCATCTTGCAAGATTACCAAATCTAATGAGATTTGGAGCAGGGCTGGATTCGTTTTGTTTGGGAAGTTACTTAGGTTTTTTTAGATACGAGGCTACTGAACATCTGATGAAATGTATGATCCAGAAAAAGTCCCCATACTCTGGGAAGGGGGGGGGAGGGAATTCAAAGGCAAGAATTTATCAGGAGTAAATCCAGCCCTTCATTAGAGGACACCCCCCAATTTAATGACAGTGTGCTGAATTTTTTTAAAGCAAGATCCTCTATTTCTCCTGACCTATTCCTGATTTTTTGTTAGAAATTCCTTAGTGCTAAAGTGGGGTAGCAGTTGAGTTCTATCATTAGAGCCAGGCAGTTAGCAATCTTGCTTGGACTTGAAATGTTTCCTGGGTTGTTTGAATGTTGTATTTGCCCCCAGGTCCCTTCTGCAGTAATAAATAATCTGTTACTTGTGCTCTGGTTCTAACTAGACAAGATAACTGCAATGGCACTTGATGCTGAATGGATGTAGCAACGTGTGGCCCACAAGACTTGCGGAATTCCTCCCTATATGGTCAATATTAGTCCTTTCCTCTTTCCACTGAGTAAACTGACTCTTAAAATGCATTATTTCAGCTGCCTTTTCCTTAAATAGAGTCCTTACTCTGTTATGCTGACTTATCTTTTCTGATTAATTGTTCCCAAGCACTCTCCTGAATCCGAATGTGAACGGTGGCTTAAAAAGCTTAGTTCCCACTGAGGAAGATTGAATCATAACCTTAATACAATTTTAAGGCCTCAATTCCAGTCAGAAAAGCTGCTACAAAATCCTGCCCCACCCAATGCAGCTGCTTTAAATCGTTGCTGGGCCTGATATCAACAAAACAAAGATCAAGACTGGGCTCATCCAGACAGGTGCTGGGTTGTGAGATTTCCTAACAGGGGACTTACTTGTGACACGATTGAAGAAGCCATTGAGTGTGGCCCAGAGGGAGGCCTCTGTCCCCATAGATGCTCTAACACGTAGATTATACGGCACAGTAGCCGATATGTCTTCTGTGATATCACACTGAGTAACGCTAACATCTGTGCATTCTGCAATGGGAATCCAGCTGTCATTGGCATAGTCTCTCTCATATTCTCTAGATATAGTTAGGAAAAAAACAAAGTCAGCTTCTATGCAGAGAACAAAGGACCTTCTTCACATTGCCTCAAAAAAATGTCACTTGATTCGGTGGCATATAAATATAATAAATAAAATAGCAAGGGCCAGCTCATAAGCAACATCATTTCCTTGGTAGCCTGCCTAAAATTTGTAACTGCAATGCAGCTCTGAGATTAGGTATCCCTGGATGTTTGTACAAAAATTCATAAATGGACACATCAATTAATGAGTGGCTCATGTGCAGCCAACCAAAGAGATTTGATTCTAAATCGTTAATCCTTTAACAATCTTTAGGCTGTTAGAATATCTAATCTCTAGTAGGCAAAGGTGGCTTATAGTACGCTGAAAATAAGTATAGTACCGTAACTCATTTCTGAGCCTAAGGATAGAGCTTTCAGCCTCTCTCTTGTAACTGGCTCAAAGTTGGTGGATCTAATAGAAGAAAAAAAACTCATGGCACTCCAGATGTTTTTTTTTAAAACTTACAACAGTTTGTTTACTGACCATTCAAAGTTACAACGGCACTGAAAAAAGTGACATATGATTATTTTTCACACTTACGACCATTTTAGCATCCCCGGTCACATGATCAAAATTCAGGACACTTGGCAACTGACTCATGCTTATGACCGTTGCAGTGTCCCAGGGTCATGTGACCCCCTTTTGCGACCTTCTGACAAACAATGTCAATGGGGCAGCCAGATTCACTTAACAACCTTGTTACTAAGTTAACAGTTGCAGTGATTCACTGAACAACTATGGCAAGAAAAGTTGTAAAATGGGGCAAAACTCACTTAACAAATGTCTTACTTAATAACAGAAATGTTGAGCTCAATTGTGTTTGAGGACTATCTGTATGTGTTTACTTCTGAACCACAATCCACTTGGTGTGGAGTCGGGCAGCATACAAATTTAACAAATAAATAAATACAGCTGAATTACAATTCCAAATTTCCTCACTATTGGTTAATGCTACCTAGAGCTATTGGAAACATTCATTTTACTACATCTGGAAGACCACAAGATTTGTACCCTTCAGCTAAAAATTTTATTATTACTCTTGTTATTATTAGCCTAAAGCAGTGGTGGCGAACCTATGGCACGCGTACCAGAGGCGGCACTCAGAGCCCTCTCTGTGGGCACGCATGCTGTGTCCCGGAGATGGCGAGGGACTGGCCCCCGCTGCCCTGGCCCCGCCTATCCAGTCTGCCATGACCACCGGGTGCCACCCGCCTGGCACCCGGGTGATAAATAAGTGGGTTTGGGGTTGCAGTTTGGGCATTGGGTCTCTAAATGTTTCGCCATCACTGGCCTAAAATATAATCCATAGATATACTCAGTCTACCCAAGGTAGATGAGTCCTAAATTGCATTAAGTTACAGATCATGATAATTCTCAAAAACCAGATTCTCACACACTAAGCTAATGTTAAATTATGTAAAGAGCCAGTTTGCCCTTGTGGTTAAGGCACCAGGCTAGAAAGTGGGAGACTGAGAGTTCTAGTCCTGCCTTAGCCATGAAAGTCAGCTGAGTGACCTTGGGCCAGTCATTCTCAGCCCAACTCACTTCATGGTAGTTGTGGCTAAAATAGGAGAAAGGAAGTAGGTTGGATATGTTCACCACCCTGAGTTATTTGTAAAAAATAGCAGCGAGATATAGATAAATAAATAAATGAAATGTCACTTTAGCATAATGTGTGTTTATGTATAACAATGTATGTTCGTATCAGTCTTTCTAAATTTGCCTCTTTTTTCTAAATTTGCTTCTCATCCTCTTCCTCTTCTCTTCCTATGTATTTTCCCAGTTTTCGGGCTATGATTTATTTATTTATTTATTTGTAAAATTTACTGGCCATCCATCTTACCACAGGGATGACTCTGGGCGGCTTATCATCTTAAAAAGATAAAAACTATACAAAACCTAAAAGACATAAATAAAATACTGTAAAGATCCAATTTCTGAGGCCAAAATTAAAAGATGGGGCGGGACGGAGTAGGATGAGAAAATGGGGGAGAAGATTATTAATCTATCAAACATCCCCAATGTAAAACCTTTCCATTGGAGCCCCCAGGCTAACTGGCAGAGCCAGGTCTTCAGGCTCTTATGGAAGGTCAGGAGGGTTGAAGCCTCCTGACATGTTCCAGGACGAGATGTTCCAAGGGCAGGCACAACGGCAGAGAAGGCTCTTCCCGCAACATGTCTCCTCTGCTAGTACAATGGGGTTGGCCAACCCAATGGGGTGAGATGGTCCCTCGAGTAATTTGGACCCATGCCATGAAGGGCTTAGATGTCTGAGATGTTAAAATTCAAAAGAGAATTCATTTTGCCCTAAAGATGTTATTGACAAAAATCTCAACCACCCACCCTCTTTGCCCTGAAGCAGAGAAGAGCTGTTTACTGTTGAGGATATAGCAACATGCCTTCAAGTATGAGAACAAAGCTCATTGCACTGGATGGCCCAGAGAACCTCCTAAAGATGATAATCTATCTGGGCTTTCACCTGTCCCATGGTCGCAGTGCTTATTCATGTCACAGAGAAAGGAGAACTTAAAGATTGTAGTTGAATCTCTCTTCTGGATAAAAGCATTTCTTCCACCCCAACCAGCAGCCACACATCTGCATTACAATGTGATGAAGCCCAAAGGCACGAAAACCTGGCAGGGGATACTAGTCCAACCACCCATGTGTTAATTTGTTGCAATACTATTGCATGCCTAGCTTGCCTATACATGCAACAGAATGCCATGGCAAAGCTTTAAGGCGGGAAAAGAAATTCCATCACTCCAAACAGCAGATAGAACATTCAAAATGCTATTCTTAAATTCCTTGGGAGTAGAAAACAAGATTAGTAGACAAGGATCTGGTTTAGAATTTTCTCCCAATATGGATGGAAACTAATCAAGCAGAGAAGCAACCTAGAACTAAAGAGAAATTTCAAGGCAATTAGAACAATTAATCAGTGGAACGACTTGCCTCCAGAAGTTCTAAGTGTTCCATCATTGGAGGCTTTCAAGAGACTGGACAACCATTTGTCTGAAATAGTATAGGGTTTCTTGCTTGAGCAGGGGGTTGGACTAGAAGACCTCCAAGGTCCCTTCCAACCTTGTTATTCTGTAGAATTTTCTCCCAATGTTTTTCTAATTGGTTTGTTAAGGGGTAAAAGAAAAGGATATCACTCTCCAGTAGTCTAAAATGATAGTCTACTGTTTTAGGAGATTTTTCCATCTTATATTCCTGCATTTGTACCCTGATTAGGAGGAATTTTGAAGGAGCTCAACTTTTGGAACAAGTCAACCCATCCTCCACACACATACTATAAGATACTTCTAATCTTGTGTAAAAATTTGCCTTGTCGTTTCTAAGAAGCTTTCTTTGGTCAAAAAGAAACCTATTTTTCTACCTAATTGTTAGGGTGTTGGAGAACGTCTTTCACATTTCTCTCAGTGGACTTTTCTGAACTTATTGCACGGGTGGACATGACAGAGGATGCCACTGCTGGTTTTGTGGCTGTGTTAACACATTTTTCCTTCTTTCCTAGCTGCCTGTCCTTCCTACACCAGAAATGCCTAGTGGAAAAAGTTATCTCACCCTGATAGCCTTTCTAGTAACAGGGCCTGCTGAATCAGATTAAAGGCTTAACCAATCAATGTTTTTCCCAAACAATGGTCAGTTCAATAATTATGAAAAAGTAAAGTAGTACATAAAAACTGGAGTCTAAGACTTCTTAAAACTATAAATAGAAGACAAAATTAAGGTCAGCATTATGTGGTCAAGGGGCAACATGGGATTGCCAAACCATTTGGGTATTGTAACTATCAACAAAGAAAGAACCTTAGCTTATCTTCCTTTTTTAAAAAAAATGGTGGCCCTCAACCACATTTCATGGAACCAAATTTCATTAAATTGGCACCATGTGAGGCATTTCCTTTTATTTCTCTTGAACATCCCATTAGGCAACCATCTACTATGAATACAGGAAGAAATGGAGAACAATTCACCCTGTTCATGTTCTTCATAGCATACGTAACTTCATAAACCTCTGTGGTATCTCCTCATTATTATTTTACTATTATATTGAGTATAGCAAAAAAGTATAGCTTTCCTTCATCTTGTAATCTGGATTTGTGGGACTGTTACTTCTACTACTTGCAGCTGGTGTATCAGTTGTACCTTAGTCCAACATATTTTGTTGGTATAAGTCAGGGGTTTTCAAACTTGGCTCTTTTATGACTAGTGGACTTCAACTCCCAGAATTCCTCAGTCAGGCACACTGGCTAAGGAATTCTGGGAGTTTAAGTCCACAAGTCATAAAAGGGCCAAGTTTGAAGACCCCTGGTATAAGTTGAAAATGTCTAGCCACACATATTTAGCATCAGTCATGCTGAGATTTCTTTAGACAATCAGTACTCAAGATGAGCTAAGAACTTACCCTTGAAATTCGACTGAGTATTTTACAACCTCGCCAGGCGCAATCTCCGCAACTGGACTCCAAATCAGAAAGTGCTTCATATTGGTGGACAGAATAGTAATATTCTGGGGAGGTGCTAGTAAGGCAGCTTTATGTAGGGATCATCAAAATGACATATAAAGAGAGAAAACCAGAAATTATCTCACAGATTAGAGACACTGAGGTTATTATTAGGATATCACACCAGATCCTTTATTACTGAATAATCAATTACTAGATGTCGGTGTACAGGTAGACCTTGACTTACGACCACAATTAAGCCCAAGATTTATGTTGTTAAGTGAGACAGTTGTTAAGTGAATTTTGCCCCACTTTACGACTTCCCTTGCCACAGTTGTTAAGCGAATCACTGCAGTTAAGTTAATTACACGGTTTTTAAGTGAATTTGGCTTCCCCATTGACTTTGCTTGTCAGAAGGTCGCCAAAGGGGATTCAAACCATCCAAGCATCCAAATTTTAATCATGTGAGCATGGGGATGCTGCAATGGTCGTAAGTGTGAAAAACAATCATGTCACTTTTTTCAGTGCCGTTGTAATTTCAAATGGTCACTAAAACGGTTTTAAGTTGAGAATTACCTGTAATTATTATCACTAACTGCTCAGAGAGTTTATTAGTTAAGCTTAAAGACTATGCTGACTTAGCTAGAAGTAAGAACATGGGACTCAGTGGAATTTATTTCTTAGCAGATATACCCCAAATTGTGCTTTTAATAGAACTTGAACTGAATGGCATGTAATTTAGTATTTGTTTTACAAGATGCAGGTTAGAAAAAGTCTTATCAGATATTTAATATTTTACAAGATGCAGGTTAGAAAAAGAGTCTTATCAGATCTTGTACATTACTTAAGAATGGGGAAGCCTTTGCGTCAATTCACTTTTGTTTAAACTTATAAATATGTTTTTGTCCATAGTTCAAATATCTTCCTTCAAGGTGTCAGAATTTTACATTTTCCCAGCACACATTTTATGTGCTCCTGTGTATAGAGATGCATCCCTTTTACATTCACTTAAGATGGCAGTTCAGTAACCTATCAGTGTATTCTTTTAAAGTCAGCGACTATATTCAAACATTGTATTAAACCATAATTTATGCAGTGTAAGTACAGATTGTTTATATCCTTCATCCTGCCTTAGCCAAATAGAATGAGGTTGCAAATGTGTATCGTAGTTTGCCCCCAAAGATTCTTAGTGTTTGTGATTAGTGCTAATCACTGCTAAGATTCTGTTATAGAAGTAGAATATCTAAGTTGCCAACATTTGCATGACCACTTGATAGCGCCAAAGTACTTTCAGGGCCTCTTTGCTGCCACCTATTGACTGAGCACATAGTTGTAGTCCACATATGCCAGCCCTGCTGATGGCGATCCCTACCCTGCTCTCCATAATGATGACCACCTCCTAGCCATTTCCAACTGCAACAACAACAGAGGATCCATATTTGCAAAACATTCACATATGCCATCCAATTTATAAATTACATTTCTCAACTTTCTTTGGAGAAAAGCAGGTCTCTGGTGCAGAAATAACCCAAATAGATAATGAGCAACTGATTAATTCACAAGTTCTGAACATTTCAGTCCCAACACAATTCAAGGACAATAATTTGGGGTGGGTAATCCTATAGTCTAACTGTCTGTGTATCTGAATCTATGAGTGAACATTTTATTTATTTAAGGTGCTTAACCAGGACATAGGAAATTACCTTATTGAAACCATTTATTTATTGTTCTTATTCAGGCCATAGGAAATTTCCCCCTTTAAACCCTTTATTTTTCTTTCTTTCTTTGTTTATTTATGATTCTTATCCAGGACATAGGAAATTACCTCACTCAAACCCAATCTAGATTGATAATATAATCTATCTATGCTAATGCTGGCAACTCTATGAATAATCTGAAATATTCTAACCCTGAAGCATAAAAGCAAAAGAATATACCTTACATAGAATCAAACACTGGCTAGGCCCAGTTTCTCTCAATCTTCAAAAGTGTATTTCCTAGCCATAGCAAAAACATCTTTGCACAGGTTCACGTTATGCTTCCTCCTCAACCAATAGACCCTTCAGATGGTTTTCATGCCTTGGTCCCCTTGCAAGTGGACTACTACAATGCACTCTACATGCACTCTACCACTCAAGACCATCCAGAAGCTACAGTAGATTCATGAATGGAATAGCAAGAGCACATTTTGCTCTGCCCAAGTGTCATTATTGCTATACAAGCTGCATTATTGGCCATTTGGCTTCTGAGTGCAATTCAAGATCCTGGTTGTCACCTATAAAGCCCTTCATAGTATAAGTCATGGTTAACTATGGGACTACCTGTCTCCAAGTTTATGCCCATCTGGGATGTTTGGACAAAATGACCATGTTTCAGGTCCACTCAGTTAAACGTTGTCAGAATAGCAATAATCTCACTTCTGTATTTGTGATGGAATGAAGCCTTTTTCACTATATTTGTGGGTAGCAGGATATTCTCATTTAGGAGACTAGAAGTCACCGACCAGGTTGGCCTGAAAAATGGAGGATTGATTTCAGAAGCGAATTGTTCCCAGCCATAGCCATGCATGCCAAAGATCCAGACAAGGGGTCTTCAAACTTGGCCCTTTTATGACCTGCGGACTTCAACTCCCAGAATTCCTCAGCCAGCATGCCTGGCTGAGGAATTCTGGGAGTTGAAGTCCACAAGTCATAAAAGGGCCAAGTTTGAAGACCTCTGATCCAGACTGTCCCTAGTATCAGGTAGAAATAGATGGGTGTCAGAGGCAGCACAATTCATAAAAGAGCAACACAATGCTATTTGCAGTTTCTGATTGTCGATATTCTTCTTACTGCCAAGAATGTCTTAGTGTCTACAGGTAGTCCTTGATTTATGACCATAATTGGGACTAGTATTTCCATTGCTCAGAAAGATGGTTGTTAAGTGAGTCACACCTGCTTTTACAACCTTTTTTGCCATGGTTGTTAAATGAATCGCTGCGATTTCTATGAATCATGTAGGTTAGGGCTAGCATTATTTATTTATTTATTAAATTTCCTTATCACCCATCTCCCCTATAAGGTGACTCTGGGTGACATATAGATTATAAAGGACAAAGGGAAAAATAATTGAAATAAAGAAATTAAAATTTTAAAACTGTACAAAAACCAGGATTCGGACGGCACAGGGATGAATTACCCTGTCAACTACCTCCAGTGGTGAGTGCCCCCCTCAGGGTCAAGCAGCAAAGCCAAGTTTTAATACCTTCCAGAAAACCAAAAGGATGGAAGCAGTTCTCACCTCCAATGGTAGAGTGTTCCACAGGAACGGGGCCATAATGGACGCTGCAACCATTGTATATACATGCCAGTTGCCAAACGCTCAAATTTTGATCATGTGATCATGGGGATGGCACAATAGTCATTAGTGCAAGGACTAGTTGTAAGTCATTTTTTTTCAATGCTTTTGTAACTTTGAAAAGTCGCTAAACAAATGGTTCTAAGTCAGACGCTGGGCAGCCTTGGGCTGACGCTTCCAGACTGAATCCAACATCAAACACTATACACAAGCTGAAAGATAATTTTCCCTAATCCCATTGTATCCTCTGTTTCCTGCCTTAAAATCACAATTGACCCATAGTTCTAAGGTATTCCACTTCTTCCCACAACCGATAACACAGGAAATGACATTACGGTACAAATATTATTCTCAGCCTGTGTTACGATATACATGAAGGCTAAGTCTTATGATTTTGTCCTTAGCTGTTGGCAGACTAGTCTAGATTTAAACATACCTAGCATAAATCTGCTAAAATTAATACAGTGCATATTCATCATTCTATCAATTTATCATGTTATTCTGTTCTTTTTTTACCAATGCCCAAATGTCAATTCTATTTGAGGGACAGGTAGAAATACCTGTTTCTAAATATTAAGAGATTCACAGTTTTACACATTAATGTTGTCCAAAGAGCTTCATATTACAAACAACAAAACTATTTTCCTCATCCCTAAATCCGGTTGCTGGAAAAAACATATCTGGTTAAGAAAGCTGGATTGGCATTGCCTATTCTTTGTATCCGGTTTCTCCTGAACTGCGCTACTAAGGATCTGTTGAACTTCCGCAACTCTGTTCAAAAATAACTCTGACTTCTTTTGCTCTAATTCCACACTCCTAAAAATATTACTTCATTCATTCACTTTGCTTTAAGGGCCTGCCTGAATTGGGGTTATCACTACATACCTGAAGTGAAAAATGGCATCCAAATAAAGCAGATCATCAAGAGGAAGCATATGGCCATTTCCTTGCGGTTTAGGGACCTTGCCAAGGTATAACCAGATCCGGCATTTTCCGCTCCTGCCTCAGGAGTAACTCCATACTCAAAAAAGGTTGCTTGATGTTGAATGCACCGCCTCCTTTGTCGACCCCATGGGGTATCAAGTGCTACCGTCTGTATCTAGGCAGTGTCGATGGCTGCCGTGGCTCCTTTTCCATATTCATCTGCATTGCTTGGAAAGGTGTGGCTAGAGTTTGGGTTCAATAATAGGTTTGGGCAACTCCATTCTGGTATTTTCCTACAGGTTATGCAACTGACCTCGTGAGAGGGAGGGAAGAGAACATTTGGCAGTTGCCTGTTGATGGTGCAATCAACAACCTGGGGGGAAACTGACTTTAAGAGTGACTGAGTTTCTCCAGATTCCGGAGTGGAAGTTTTTATTTCCAAGGGTGTTGGGAAATCCCAACCCTTTTATGTTTTTGCTCTGCTTTACCCACTGACAGTCTCAGTTACGTCTATGGCAAGTGCCCAACATAAGGCCCACGCCCTTTTCCTAATCTTATATATGTTTCTGACTGTTTCGTCATCCTTCCCATGATACCCTAATGGCAGGTTTAGGGACTGAATTGCAAACAGGCGGCCAGATTTACCACCTAGGGATCTGTTCACCCCATCTGTTGTAGCCATTTATACCTATGGTTTTTATCCCCCCCTTGATTACTTTATAAGTCAGTCAGGACAGCAAACACACATACTCCTTCATCCTGTTTTCCGCACAACAACCCTGTTGGATTGGGCTGTGAGAGAGGAGCAAAGCCACCCAAGCCAGCTTTCATTTTTAAGATGGGACTTAGTCTCCTAGTTTTTAAGCCAGCACCTTCACCACTACACTAAACTGGCTTGTATTTAACAACATATACACATTATTAGGAAAAAGGAAAGGCGCCCTAAAAATGCTATTAAAAGACAGGGCCTCTTTCCGAAAGCGAATCTTCCACGGGTAGGCGGAACGGGATGGCGGCAGCGACTTTAGAAGCCTCTTGAATCTTTCGCTTCCAAGCCAGTTTCGAAGGGAACCAATCCGAAAATAAGCTCCGGGGCAGGAAGGACGAAAGCAGAAGGGGGAAAAAAAAAAAATCAAATCTCCCGCTCCAAACCTGCCCCGCGCCCGCTCGCAAGGCCGCAAGGCCGCAAGCACGGAAACCCGCTCCCCTTCCGCGGTCGGGCGCATGGGCAGATGCCCGAGAAGCGGCGGTTGGTTCCGGCAGCGTCCCGAAAGCGAAGGCGGGCGCCTGCGTGGGAGAGGCCGGCCGAGGCAGCGCGCATGTTCCGCCCGGGAAGATGAAGGTGGCGGTGGCCGGCTGCTGCCATGGCGCACTGGATAAGCTCTACGAGACCCTGCAGCTGCTGGAGCAGCGCCACGGCGTCGACGCCCGTCCGGATTTGCTGCTCTGCGCCGGCGACTTCCAAGCCGTGCGCAACGCGGCCGATCTGCGCTGCATGGCGGTGCCGTCCAAGTACCGCCAGTTGGGAGGCTTTGCCAAGTGAGTGGGGGGGAAACGGAGTGGGGGTCCGGGGCGGGGGCCCGTCGTAGGCGGAGAGCCGAGCGAAGCGTTGTGAGTGGGGTCCCCGGAACTGCTGGAGCTGGCCAGCGCTCTGGGGAGGCGCCGTCTGGTGGGGAAGGGGCTGGGTGCGGGAGGGAAGAGCCCGCTTTGAGCCCCCACTTACCATGGGGCTTTCCTGACAGATGCCCTTAATTCCTGTGAATAGAATAGCAGTGTTGGAAGGGACCTTGGAGGTCTTCTGGTCCAACCCCCTGCTCAGGCAGAAAACCCTATACCAGTGTTTCTCAACCTTGACAATTTTAAGGCATGTGGACTTCAAGTCCCAGAATTCCACAGCCAGCATTGCTGGCTGTGGAATTCTGGGAGTTGAAGTCCACATGCCTTAAAATTGTCAAGGTTGAGAAACACTGCCCTATACCATTTCAGACAAATGGCTGTCCAGTCTCTTCTTAAAAACCTCCAGTGTTGGAGCGTTCACAACTTCTGGAGGCTGGTTGTTCCACTGATGAATTGTTCGCACTGTCAGGAAATTTCTCCTTAGTTCTAGGTTGCTTCTCTCCTTGATTGGTTTCCATCCATTACTTCTTGTCCTGCCATCAGGCGCTTTGGAGAATAGCTTGGCTCCCTCTTCTTTGTGGCAACCCCTGAGATATTGGAACACTGCTATCATGTCACCTCTAGTCCTTCTTTTCCTTAAGAGCATCTGTCTTGGGACTGAAATGTTGGGCCAGTGTAAACATACATGCCCATTGGTCACTTGGAGATAAAATGGTTGTGTTGTGTGAGGGGTCCTTGGTGCTCTCTGAGCTTGTTTTGTTACAGACATTTCATTATCCAAGCTAGATAGCAATAGCACCTAGACATATACCGCTTTACAGTGTTTTTTACAGCCCTCTCTAAGCAGTTTACAGAGTCAGCGTCTTGCCCCCAACAATCCTCATTGGGGAATGGAAGAATGGAAGGCTGAGTCAACCTTGAGCTGGTGAGAATCGAACTGCCAGACTGCTGGCAGCCGGCAGTTGGTTGTGCCCAAGAACCAGTCTCCTAGCCTGATGGGACCAAAGTGACTCTATGTTTCTGAGTCAGTTTTTGGCTTCTGGCAACTGTCTGGGCAGGACTGTGGTTTTCTTGGCAACTTTTTGGAAGTGATTTGCCACTGACTTCTTCCTAGGGCAAAGAGGGAGGGACTGACTCAAGGTCTCCCAACTGGCGTCTTGTCTATGATGAGACTAGAACTCATGGTCTCCCACTTTCTAGCCTGGTGTCTTAAACCACTACATCAAGGGTGGGCAATTAATTTTCCCAACATGAGAAACTGGGACTGTATGCAGGGCCAAATCAATAGAACTCTGAAGGCGCATAAGCATGCACACATGCACATAAGTAATTTTTTTAAAAAATTAATCACCTTCAAAATGAAAGCAATTCACTCTGGCCAGACAGGAACAGCCAAAGGGCTGGATGTGGCCCGGGGCCGTAAAATACCCAGCTCTGCATTAAACCAAACTGGCTGTACAATATGGATTACTGTATGAAAAAGAACTCCTTTATTTTATTTTGATTTATTTATTAAATTTATATGGCTGCCCATTTCATTGGCATGTTATTCTGGTGGGGTCAATGTTTAAAACACAGCTACCAATCTCGGCCTTCCACAGCCCTTCATTTTTAAAAATTGCAACTACCAATAGCAACCAATTAATGATAAAAAAACAAATGTACCATCTTTCATTTGACTAGCACAGCTATAATTTTAAGCCCACCAATCATATCTTCTTGGCATACCCAAGACCTTTCCCTTCGGTTTCTATTGAAAGGGTTAATCAATGGTGGTCCTGTGACTTCCCCTAAGTAGAGGATATCTAAGTAGAAAAACATGGACTTTTAACAGCTCAAAATTCCAACTGTCTTTTCCTAGATACTATTCTGGAGAGAAGAAAGCGCCTATCCTGACTATCTTCATTGGTGGCAACCACGAGGCCTCCAATCACTTGCAAGAGTTACCGTATGGTGGATGGGTGGCCCCAAACATCTATTATCTTGGTATTGTTCCTTTTGCTTTCTGGCTTGATAGTATCAAATGCTTGATGTAGAAATGGTGAAGGGGTGGAACCCTACATGGATGAGACAATGTGCTTCTTCTGTCAGTATTTTATTTATTTTTTCATCATATTTATACAGCCGCCCATCTTGCAGAACATCATAAAAACTCATCATTTTAACTGCAGCAGTTCGGTTCAGGATGTTGAAACAGGTTTTTCCCCCAGCATTTTATATCTTTATTTGTTTCCCATGCTACAATTTCATTGTTGTGCAGCTTTTAAAGATGTTTTGAGCCTTGAGAATTAGAGGGGAGCCTTCCTGAGATGCATTCAATTCTTATTTGGAGGTTCTGGACTTAAAATTATTAATTTTTGCCTAGCTAATGTTTCCTGCATCTCTTTGTCAAGGTTATTTTATTACTCTCTACAGGTTATGCTGGAGTCGTCAGGTACCGAGGGGTGAGAATTGGTGGCCTGTCTGGTATTTTCAAAGGTCATGATTACAGAAGAGGTATGTGTGAGTAGTTCTTCAAACTCTTGTTTTAAGCAAATATGCCATTGACATTTGTGTGGCTTGGTTCTAGTGCTTTTTGCTGCTTTTATTGTTATTGATATATAAGTTTAGGATTGATCAACTGTAATGGGAAGTTGGATTGTCAAAATAGGATCTGAAACTATAGTTTGATCTTGGGTTATTGGACTAACATAATCTCAAAAATCCCTCTCAGACTACTGCTGAAGTTAGATTGAAACTAATGAAACAAACACACAAGAATGGAGTAACTTCTAATCAGATAGTTTTATTACAGAAAAGCTAAGGAGACATTATGAAAGAATTCTAGTGATTAACATATATCAAAGGCGAGTCCTCTGGGTGAGTGGCCCTGTTTGTATGTGTGCCATATTTTGGTAACAGTCAAATCTACTATCAGATTGTTTTTCTTTGACTGTGCAGGAGCTAACTCTCATTATCTTTTCAATTCTTGTCGAAACCAGTGTAGCAAAAATCCAAGTGTAGCACGATTTTCAGTTTGGCAGCTCTTTCTGCTAAACTCTTGTCTCCTTTGACTTTGAACTCAACTTTATCAAACTTAGATTCATCTATGCAAAGTTTTTGGCATGATATGGAGGTGGCTTATTATTATTGCTTTCTAGGATTTTATTTTTAAGTTGATAGTTTAGCTTATAGTCCTGGACCTCCCCTGCAAGTATTAGCCAGGGCCTGTCTTTCAAAATGAACTAAAGACATTTCTTGATGTAACTGTTTCATGTTGCTTAACTTCTTTCAGGTCACTATGAGTATCCTCCTTACAACCAGGAAACAGTACGAAGCATCTACCATGTAAGAAATATTGAGGTTTTCAAGCTCAAGCAGGTAAATCTAAATATCATACTATCATATATTGGGCTCTTCTTCATATTCATCCTCAACATCTAAAATGAAGTAGGAAATGCTGTAAAAGAGGGCCATTGCACAGAAGAATTATGGAGCTGAAAGGGGCCACAAGAATCATTTAGTCCAATTTCTGTAGGAGAAGTGGTTGACCATCCTCTTTGTAAAAGCCTCCAGAGATGGGTAACTCACAACCTCCAGAGATAGACTGTTCTTGTGCTCCTGGAAAATAGGTCTTGATTATTGTCTGTAGGTTCCTTTTATATAGCTGACAATGGCGATCATGTCTTCCCTATGTCTTCTTTTCTCT